GTGCAGGAGGGCCAGGGACCCGGGTGTCCTCTCCACGCCCGCTCACCTTTGCTCAGCTGCACTGGCATGCTCTCCGACTTCATCAGCCTCTGCTGCTGCTGCTGCTGCTGCTGCTGCTGCTGCTGGAGGTGGTGCCGGGGGGTGTCAGTGACGCTCCTGGCTGGAACCCCCACAGTGGATGGGGGGCCACTGATGCCGCCAGGAACCGGGCCACTCATGCTGCCTGGGGCCATTGCTGGAGAAATCAACTTTCTTCCAAAATTAATCAGGCTATTGGAGACCTTATTGATGTTCAGAGGAGCCCCTCGGGCGCTGGTCCTGGAAAAGAAAGTGGGAATTAAGCGGAGAACCTCTACTGACAGACTAACAGCCCTCACCCTCTTCCTGGGCCCGCTGAGGTCCCACGAGGTGAGAAGCAAAACCCAAATCACCTAATTCTTTAAAAATGTGGCTTCAAAACATCTCTTCCCCCTCGCTCACCCTTTAGCCCTCTGAGCAGAGCCCACCGCTGGCCAGCACCGCCAGGTCCTGGATCCAGATGTCTAACCCCCACACGCTGCCCCCCAGCTCCCGCCCAGGAGGTGAGAAGCACCTTAACCCTCCACAGAAACGGATGCTGCAATGTGAGGGGGCTGGACACGTGAGAACACGGGCGCTCAGAGCAGGGCACCTGGGAAACGGGTGAGAGTAGATTTCCCACCTGCCCTGATGCACTGGCCTCTGTGCACGACAGTGGGGAGACGCCGGCCTGGGGTGAGGTCTCCCCCATCTGGTTGTGCAGTGAGGCTGAGAATCTGAGGTTTTCTGGGCGGCTCAGGGCGGCCTCTCTAGTCCATCTCGGGCTGGAGGCTCGGCTGGAGTGATCAGCACCGTGGCATAGCACGTGTCCACGGAGCGCGCGGGCCGAGCGTCCAACAGGGACGTCCACCTGCGGTTACGTTCCAGGTGCTGAGGGGCTGGCTATCCCCGCAACCCCAAGTCCAGCAGAGCGACACCTGCCCAGGCCTTCACTGGCCTGCCCACCTGTGTGGTTCTGAGGTGCCACGATGTGTGCCAGGTCTTCTGGGCTAGGATATGACGTGTGGAGCCCCAGGTTATGGCAGAGTTCCTGCCAGCCTTGGAGGAGCCTGGGCTCGTCAGCCTGGCTACAGCTGGTGTCTTTGCCAGTCCAGCAGCTGGGTGCAGGCAGGACACCCCATCACAGGTGACTAGGGTAAAGAGACAGGCGCCCTGGCCTGAGATGTCCCAGGATGACCCACTCTGCGGAGGGTGCACTGCTTCAGATGTGACTGGGGGAGTGTGTGGGGAGTGGGGCCTCCAGTCAGAGGCGGTGCCCAGTGATCTGGGGACTGACCGGGCAGAAGCAGCATCCACAGGTGCCAGATCCAGAGAGTGTGGGCATGGCCTCAGGTGGAGCTGGACCTGAGGGTCCACACACATTTGTGTTTGTGTATGTGTATATGTACATATGGCTTTGCGTATACGGGTGTGGGTGTGTACATACGGGGTGTGTGCATATGTGGGGGGTGCATATGTGTATACATGTGAGCTCATATGGGTGTATACATGGGTGTAGGTGTGTACAGTATAAGTGTGCTGTACAGGAGTGTTGTGTAGGTTTGTATGTATGGGTATAGGTGTGTATGTGTGTATATGCGTGTGTATGGGGTGTGGGTGTGTATGGTGTAAGTTTGTGTGCGTAAGGGGGTAAGTGCGCGCATGTATGTGTATAGGTGTGTATGTATGAGTGTGTGTGTATGCGTGTTGGGGGCTGTGTGTACGGGGATGTGTGTGAGTATAGGTGTGTATGTATGTTGTGTATGTAAGGTTATACGTATGTATGTGTGTAGGTTTGTGTGTATATGAGTATATGTGTAAGGGTGTAAGTGTGTGCATGTATGTGTATAGGGTGTGTGCATGTGCTGGGGTATGTGCATACTGGGATGTGTGTGTGAGTATAGGTGTGTATGTGTGTACATGGTTGTGTGTATGGGTGTAGCGGTGTGTGTGTGTGTGTGTGTTGGGGTATGTGCATACTGGGATGTGTGTGTTAGTATAGGTGTGTATGAGTGTACATGGTTGTGTGTAAGGGTGTAGGGGTGTGTGTGTGTGTTGGGGTATGTGCATACTGGGATGTGTGTGTTAGTATAGGTGTGTATGTGTGTACATGGTTGTGTGTAAGGGTGTAGGGGTGTGTGTGTGTGTGTGTTGGGGTATGTGCATACCGGGATGTGTGTGTGTGAGTATAGGTGTTCGTGTGCAGGGTTGTGCATAAGGGTGAGTGTTCTACCAGTCACTGTTTCCAACTGTTAAATAATTCATTTAACATATATCAAGAAGAAATATTTTTCCAGATGATTCATAATCTTAACAATATCTCATGTTGTTCTGAAGGCCTATTATGACTATCAATTACTGTGGAAAGGAACCACGTGAGAGTAGCAAAGTTGGTATTTTTATTGTCTAATAATTAACAGCAGCTTATTTTCTCACAGCTTTTGTCCTCATGAAAGTGGGAAGTGAAAATCATGTCTGAGGTCTGGGTGACTGAGTGATTTGTGCTGGCTGAGCGTTCTAGGGTCACCTCTCCCTGGCTACGTGGCCCCACTCCCATAGCAGCGTCCTGCTCTCCAGGCCTTCCTGGACTCACAGACACAGCTCTAAACAGAGCTGGGCCATGTCTCCATGAGCAGAACCCGCGAGAAACTCAGACCTCACACTTCCTCCTTCCACGAAGTAGCCCCCTCTCACAGAACTAAAAGTATGGCAAGGGAGTTCAGAATTAGATTGTTTTGGAGTTTAAAACTGAAATCCAGTTTAATTAAAAAAAAAAAGACCTATAACTCAATGAATGAAACATGAATAAAATCAGTTTTCAAATAGTTATTTTTGCATCAAGTTTTATCTTTTGGGAGGATTGGCGATTTAATATCCTTCCAAAATTACTGAAAATAAATTTCATGATGGAGTTAGGACTCTAATACAGAGCAGAAGTGAACATGACTTGTTTTTCTTCTCCAACTGATGCAGGAGAGTCCCCACTCTGCAGAAGCACCACAGCTGGCTGCAGGCAGGCGCTCCCTCTATGTCCACACGTGGGCTGACAGGACAGGGACCACCAACTCTGGATCACGGGGTGCATTCACCCCGGCTCTGCACCCCACCCAGCAGCTGGCAAACCCCAGCTCCTTGTCAGTGACAGTGACAAGAAGAGCTGTTTGGATCCTCAAGTTGTTACATTTTAGCTCTCCTTGTCTGCAGGATTCATAATTCACAAATATGAAGAAGTTATAATGTTGTTACCCTTTTTTATAAACAAAAATGTACTAGTCAAATTCCCACATTGCCAGTTGTAAAATTTATATGTTGATAAAAGTACTGAGAAACTGCTAGAGCGTTATCAAGAGAATATGGATACTGTATCATCGTTACCACCGATCACCACTAAAAACATGCAGATCAAGCTCACGCCGGGCAATTTTTCATCTGAATAGCTCTTCAAAGGGGATGAACACTGCTTTTCTTCTTTGAATATATCTTTGTGTGTTTTTAGTGCTATTTTCCCTCATCTACTACCAATGGCTTTAGGAAGAATATTTTCCTTTCAGAAACCACCATTCAAGGCAACAAGAAAATGCCATTTCCAGGCTGTAAAGAACTGGAAACAATGTACTTCAACGAAAGCAAGCTGGCCACTGCAGCAGGGGGGGCCACTGCGGCAAGGGGGCCACTGCAGCAAGCTGGACACTGCAGTGAGCTGGACACTGTGGCAAGGGGGGCACTGCGGCAGGGGGACCACTGCAACACACTGGACACTGCAGCAAGGGGGCCACTGCAGCAAGCTGGACATTGCGGCAAACTGGACACTGCAGTAAGCTGGACACTGTGGCAGGGGGGCCACTGTGGCAAGCTGGACACTGTAGCAAGGGGCCACTGCGGCAAGGGGCCCACTGCGGCAAGCTGGACACTGTGTCTTTGTTTTAGAGACACCACAACGTGTAAGCTAATAATTTGACCCAAGTTAGCTAATTTAGATTTGAAATAGGAGTGGTAGGTATTTTGCAAATGAAACATTACACAACTTGCAACAGTTATTGGTGGTGATAAGTATTATTAAATCATGTGGGAAAATTAATGACACTTTACAGCCATTGGAGATCATGTGGAAACAGAACCGAGCTGGATTAGAAATGCAACGTGTAGAAATACAAGGCAAGTGGGACTTGGTGTTAACACCACACTGAGTAATAATGCAATGAGGCGCTAACTCTGGGTATTTGTTCTTTCACGAACAAGTCAGACCTGACACAACACCACTCTGTACCACAGGATGAAACACTGGTCCTGTAACATCTTTGCAATCCTGGCTACACTTGAGCCCACCGCTGCAGTCACTGTGTGGATCCATGCTGTTCACTGGCTTCCTCTTCACTGACACTTTGCCAAGTAGGACCCTTCCCCTCCAAGGTCCCTCCCAACACAGGTCCAAAGTATGTGAGGTGAAGTCCCACCAACCTCACTTCTAAAAAACATTCTTTTCCAAGACTGTTGGCATAGTAAATGTTCTCGGCAAAAACTCATCTGGTGACAAACTACTGTTAACAGCCTTTGAATTCTCTTCAGCAGATAACATAAAACACTGCCGTGCCCATCAACAAACGAATGTATAGAGAAACTGTGGTATATTCACACAATGGAATACTATGCTGCATTGAAAAACAAGGAACTCATGAATTATTATACAAAATGGGTGAGCCTGAAGGACATTATGCTGAGTGAGATACCTCAGTCACAAAAGGACAAATACTGCATAGTGCCACTGTTGTAAAACAGGACTGGGAGGGGGGAGACTGAGAAAGATGGGATAATTTATGTATACTGCATTGAAACTGATGAGGGAGAGAACTATTTAAAAGGGATATGTGATTAGGTATTTTTGTCATGATGAGAGTCCAGAATGAAGGCTGCATAGTGGAAATGGACCTGGGGGAGGGACTGTATAACAATGAAAGAAGAACGAACTGGAGGGGAGGAGTGGGCAGGGAGAAAAGTGCAATGAATGAATAGAAATCCAAAAATCTCTGTAAATTTTCATTAAAATTAATAATAATAATAATTAAACAAAAAACACTGGCTGTGATATCATTTTTTTTTATCATCAGTCTCTGGAATGGGTACAAATATGACTGTCCTGGAGTCAGTGGGCCAAGCAGCTGTCTTTTACACTTTTTAGCCGAAACTAGTGGGCATGTCCACTGTGGGATCATTTGCGGAAACATCTTAGTTACGATCCCATCAGTCTGGGAGGGTTTTGTTTT